GTGGTCATCCGCGGCCGGTAAAGTGAGGCCACGTCTGTGCCCAGCACACCCCACGCCCACAGTGGGCTCCTCAGCTTCCGGGCCTCAGCCAGCCATGTGGGTCAGGACGGGACGCCCACGCCCACGCTCGCAGGGCTCACCAGACTCAGCCTGACAGCGGATCCAGCACGGTCTGGGCTGCACCAGGCCCCTCCCTGCCGGGACCCCGACAAAGCCCAGGCACAAGTCTAGACAGTTACAGGGTGCAGCGGGTCCTGGGCCCGGGGCTCCCAAGTTCAGCGCTGTGTGCAGATGGCAGAGCTTGAGGTGGTGGGAGAAAGAGCAGGCAGGAGGTCCCGAGTCTGGGGACCGGCATTCCAGGGGCACAGACCGGGATGCCCAGCCTGGGGTGAGGCAAGGGCACGCCACACTCAGAGTCCTGTGGTCTGTGTCCTCTCCCACTGTGGTAACTAGGGAGCTCAGGGGAGGCCCAGTGGTGCCATGGTTTCATGTTGGGCTGCTAATTGCAAGGTCAGCAGTTCAAAACCACCAGCTGCTTCTCAGGAGTAACACAGGACTTTCAACTCCTGTCAAGAGTGACTACAGCCTCAGAAACCCACAGGGGCAGTTCTACCCTGTCCTGGAGGGTAGCGTGGGTCAGAATGGATGGTGGTGAGTTTTTTGAGAGTCCAGGTGTCTGATGCCCCCAGGCCCTGTGCCAAGTCCCTGACCTTTATCCGCTCCAGCTCCCCAATATCCTCAAGACGGGGACAACCCAAGAAGCCAGTCCCACCCTCATGGGCAGCTGGAGGGGCAGGGCCTCCCCGGCACCAGCCCATATCTCCCAGCACCAGGGCTGGCTCCGCCATTCATGGGCCAGGGGTCCTGACACCAGACCCTTTGTCTAAAGGATCCTGAGTCTGAAGAAGGCGGCCAAAGCCACCCAGACCCACTGGGCGTGAGTAGCCCTGCAGGATGGAGGGGACTGGGCTCCCGGGCTGTGGTCCTTCACGGTCAGGCAGCCTCGTCTTTCCCCCTCAGAGTGGTGGACACGTTCAAACCACCGCCACTCCGGTTAGCAACCACACAGCACTGGGCCACCAGGGCCAGCGTCCCCTGGCCGGCATCAGCCCCTGACCTCCAGACCCTAACCAGGCACCTCTGGGGCCAGGGAGTGGACGTCCTTGGGCAGTGGCCAGGGAGGGGCCTCCTGACCCAGCATCTCTGGCCCCAGGGGCTTTTCTGGGGTGTGTGGACCTTACTGGGGTCAGGGCTTCCCAGCAGCGGTGAAAGGGACAGACTGAGTGTTTGTTCCAAGACAGTGGACTCACAGCAGCCCCTCCTGGGAATCCCACCCTGCAGTAACGGTGGCCCCGTGACCACCTCTGCCCTCTCTCTCCCTGGGACCCTCAGGGATAGGTAGAATGGGGGTCCACGGGCCCAGCAGGTCCAGCCTCAGGCTGACAACCCTGGGCTCCTCCAGGCTCAGTCATGCGGAGAGGAGGGACACCTGGGGCCGGGGCCAGGCAGGACCGGAAGATATCCCTCAGGCCTGACTCTGTGCCCGGCCAGCTCTGCAGGCCAGGCCTCCCGCACCTTCCTGCTGCCCTTTGAAGTGGAAGCGCCCAAACTGCCTGCCTGCGTGCCAGGGGCGGGGGGGCAGAGTAGCAGCAGGGACAGGCCACCTGGTATCCTCCCTGCAACCGGGCCCCTGGGCTCACGGGCCAAGCCCTTGGTGCCTGTCTCTGAGGAAGGAGGGCCACCAGGGCTGCCAGGAGATGGAGAGCAGGGGGTAGACAGACAGGCGGCCACCAGAGTCCAGCACCGCTGTCCAGGGGCCAGCCATGGTGACGAGGGCTGTGAGGTTGAACACCAGGGGCCTGGCCCAATAAGAGAAGCCTTGTTCACACCACCAACAGGAAACTTTCAGAGGTGCCCACCCCACCGAAGGCTCCAGGTGGTGACTTGGGCAGGCAGGAGTGGCCTGGGGGCTGCAGAGGGCACAGGGTTCTTGGGGTGACCCGTGGTGAGCAGTGTTGACCAGGGGAGGGCCCTGGAGTCACTCTGACACACAGCCAAGCACTCAGAGCTCAGAGCTGGACATTGAAGACGGTTGCAATTCGAGGTAGGCGTAGGACCGGGCAGTGTGGGTTGCGATTTCGAGGTAGGCGCAGGACCGGGCAGTGTGGTCGCTGTGGGCCAGAACCAACTTGGCGGCACCGAACAGAAGTTTGGCCGTAAACAACAAATGCTTTAAGAGGAACTCACACATGACAAAATCAGAGGGTGCCCTCTATCAGAAAAACCATGCCTGGGGTCTTAAAGGCTTGGTCCAAAACGAACAGCTGTCTAAGGGAGGCCTCAACTAAGTCCGCACAAAAGCAGCCCACCGGCCTGTGTGACGAGTCATAAATATAAAATCTGAATCCAGAGGCCAGAGGAGGGACTGTATCGGACCTGAAATTCTGGACATGCGGTGTCCAGAGGCCATGGGAGCCCCCGGTGGGCTCCCGGCTGTGCATTGAGCTGCTGACCAAACCGAAAGTTCAGTCATTCAAAAGCCCCAGCTGCTCCTCGGGAGACGCAGGGGGCTTTCTACTCCTGCAACGAGTTACAGTCTCAGAACCCCACAGGGGCAGTTCGGCTCTGTCCAACAGGGTCACTGAGAGTCTGGTTTAATTTGGCCTGCAGAGGATGGTGGAAGCCCAAAATCCACTTGCAGGGTCCCCACGAGGGTTAAGCCTCTGGCCACGGTCCAGAGATGTGGAAAGACCTGCTATCCGACAGTTATTATTGTTAGGTGCCCCGAGGTGGGTCCAAGCCGCAGGGGCCACGTGCACAATGGAAGGAAACGCTGCCCGTCCTGCGCCACCCTCACCATGGTCGCTGTGCCCAAGCCCCTTGCTGCAGCCACCATGTCCCTCCATCTCACTGAGAGCCTGCCTCTGTTGTTGTTGTCGTTGTTGTTGTCGTTGTTGTTGTGGGTGGGGCGTGTTGGGGGTTTTCTTTGGCCGTCCTCTCTCTCGCTGCCTGTCCACTCTACCAAGCAAGATGTCCTTCTCCAGGGACTGGTCTCTCCCGACGACGTGTCCGAGCGTGGAAGACAACGTCTCCGAGTCCTGGCCTCTGAGGAGCTCTCGGCCGTCTTTCGCCAGTCCAGGGTACTTTCGGTATTCTTTGCCAGCACATGGACTCGTCCTTGGTCTTCCTGATGCAGTGTCCACCTCTGACATGCATGTGAGGCGGCGGAGGAGGCCTGGCTCAGTCCTCGAGGAATATCCTGGATTTTCCGCACTCTGCAGAGGGCTCGTGCAGCAGGAGGGCCCAATGCTGTCCGTGGAGAGCATCGTCCAGGCGCCTGTGGTGGACACGGTCGGGTTAAAGCGTGCCCCCTTGTATGGGCGCTCCCTCCTGACGCACTCGGCGTTTGCTCCGGCTTTTGATGTTTTGTGCTTTCAATCCAACTGCAGCTTTCCTCTGTTTTAGTTCATCGTTGCCGGGTTTTGTTTATTGTCTCTTGTTTTTGTTTGATCTGATTTTCCGTGAATGAAATCCAGGACAGGAAACTTGTAGTCACTCACTGGATTAAATTAATGACCTATAGGGTCACTCACTGGGTTAACAATGAGCTATAGGGTCACTCACTGGGTTAACAATGATCTATAGGGTCACTCACTGGATTAAATTAATGACCTATCGGGTCACTCACTGGGTTAACAATGAGCTATACGGTCACTCACTGATCTATAAAGTCACCGGGTTAATAATGACCTAGAGCCTCTGTCTGTTTCTCTGCCATCCTGGGGGGCAGGGGGGGTTCTCCATCCTCAAGGTGCCCTCTCATAAGATTTTCAGGATCAAGAGGCTCCTGATCCTGAACCAGAAGCAGCATCGGCCCCCTCCCCCATGGATTCGAATGAACACCTGGCGTTGGATCAGACACAACTCCAAGAGAAGACCCTGGAAGAGCCAAGCTGGTGTGCAAGGACACCCCACCCCCACCCCCCACCCCCAAGGGCTGGCACGCGCGCTGCATTTGCCCTGGCGAGAACTCTCGGTCCGTCCTGCTGCGTGTGGGACTCCACCCTACCCGCTGACCGATTGGACTTGTATCGGCAAAGATCGGGTTTCCTCCTCGGGTTCTCTGCTTCCGCACCGAGAGATTGACAGTAAATAATGTAAAAAAGAGGAGCTGATCCCAAGTAATGTCTAGAAAAGAGCGATGGCAACATGTGTGCAAACATGCCGGATACAATCAATGTGTGGATTGTAGCAAGAGTTGTAAAAGCCCCCAATAAAAGGATCTAAAATGAATAAATAATGCAAGGCAAAAAATAAATAAAATCCTGACCCAGAGGCACGGCAGGGGAGGCTGGGAGGAAGCAGGGGCTGAGAATCATGAGGGTGAGAAAGAAGAAACATTCAAGAGTGGGCATGGAGGCATGGCCACTCATTGGTCTGGTCCTCTGACCTCCACGTCAGCAGTCCAAGCCCCCTCCAGTTCTCCGAGGAGAAAGATGAGGGCGGCTGAGTCAGGCGGGCCGAGGGGCTGTGGGCATGCGCCCCGGGAGGTGGGTGGTCTTTGTTGGCGAGGCAGAATGGGCGTTGGCATCCGGAGTCCATGCTACTACGAAATTAAACACGAGCACTCGTCACTGCTGGGGAAGAGAGGTGCCAAGCCACGTGGGGCTCTCTGCCCAGGAACGAAGCAGCAGAGGATGGATGACCCTGACCTTCCCCTGAAGCCCTCAGAGAAGCCGCGCCAAGACAGCGGGCACCCCCAGACAGTGGGCACCCCAAGTCCTGGCTGGCTGTCTTCTGCCCCATGTGGAGAGGGACATTGGTGGGTTGGACACGCCCCCTTGTGGTAGATCTGTGTAACCCCATCCAACCAAGGACCGGCCCATGGTGACACCCACCCCGCCACCAAACGGGTCAGTGGACATGCCCAGAGTCGGGCCAGTGTGGCCCCTCCCAAGAATGGATGCCTCCACTGCAGAAGCTATTTATTGATCAGAGGAGCTGCCCAGGAGCCGTCTTCGTGGGGCTGGGGGGAATGGGACGCCCCTGGTCTGGCGCTGTGGAGTGTGGCTCTCTTGTCCTGGGAAAGGGAGGGGCGGGGGGCTTGTTCATTCTCCACGGTGACTGGCCAGCTGCTTCAACAGAACCTGTGCAGACAGGAAGGGGGAAGGGTCACCTACACGTCATGCCTCACCCACAAGGCCAGTGCCCACAGCTCGGACCCCAAATTCTGTAAATGTGCAGCGGGTCACAGCAGCACAGTGACTCCACCCCTCAGAAGCCGGAGGGTGGGGGCATGTCAAGTGAGGTGGAGAGCCCAGGTAGCTGGGACCCTGGGGAAACTGGGGTGCAGGGACCAGATGATGAGAGAGAGCTTGGGTGGGGGGGCGAGGGGGCAGCCCTGCAGGGCCCCGCCGCAGGGGCCAAGGGAGAGGGGCCCAGCCCCACCTGGGAGATCGAGGTGCCGTCTGCAAGGTCAGGGTGCCTCCTTGCCCCCTGGGGAGCAGGCATCTGTGAAAGGAAGAGGGGCTGAGAAACGCTGGCCCCACACGGAGGCCTGGGGCCATGGACAGGCCTGGGGCCCTCGAGCTCTGAGGCGAGCGGGCTGTACCTGACGTGGGCAGCATGATGACCATGTCCTCCGGGAGCCCCACCGTCGGGTAGAAGTCCTGGAAGGCCCTCCTGGCCGCGGGGCTCGGGTCCTGGGTCCGGCCTGGGTGAGGCAGGGCCCCGTGAACCAGGGGACCAGGGCGCTGTGCGAGGGTCACAGCAGGGACGCCAGCAGTGGGCGGCCCAGCAGGACGGCTGCACCAGGCTGGACAGGGGGCCCTGCAGGAAGCTCCATGGGGGCTGCCCAGGGGCCCCTCTCCTGACGTACCGCCCATCTCTCCATCACAGGCACCCCTTGGCCTGCTCAGCTGAGCCCCCATGCTGGGGTTGAGGGGCTCAGGCCTCACCTCCCTCCCAGGCCCTGCACACTCCCGGTCCTCACCTCCCCAACCCTCCCCTTCTCTGCCTCCCCTCAGCTCCCCCCTGACCCCACCTGGAGACCAGGGAGGGCGTGAGCTGGGGGAGTCTGGCCAACCACGGGCGCAGTCCAAATCCCCATGGGCCCCACCCGGGTGCCCACCAGCCTTAGACACCAGGGGCTCAGCTGGGCAGTGGTCTGGAAGGGAGGGCCAGGCGCTGGGGCAGACGGGATAGAGGAGGAGGGTGCGGGGCTAACAGGGGCCCACAAATCTCCTGCCGCAGATTTGACCCCCATAGGGTTTCCAAGGCCACACTGTCACCGAGGGAGGGCTGGTGGTGCCATGGGTAAAGCGTGCAGCAGCTAACTAAGAGGGTGTGGTTTGAGCCCACCAGCACTCCCGGGGGGGTGGGGGGGGGGATGAGACCGCCTTCCTCCCTGAGGATGACAGCCTTGGACACGGGGCCTGGGGCAAGGGACGGGGGAGAGGGGGTAGCTCTACCCTGCCTGTAGGGTAGCTATGGGTCAGAACCCACCCCCTGGGTGGGGTAGCTCCCCTCCCCCCATGGGGCTACTCACTGTACAGCTGCACCATGGTGCTGAGGGCCCCCTCCAGCTCCTTGTAGATGTAGACCACCGCAAAGGAGCTGTAGTCTGTGTCTGCCACACGCACATCCAGGTAGCCCAGGGCTGGGGAGGGGGCGGCTGACTGTGGGCAGGGCCTCCAGGAACATGCCCCCACAGCTGCCCACAAAGGCAGGCCCTGGGGGCGATCACTACCCCTGCCCCTCATGGGTGGGCCCTGGGAGGGGTGGGGGGTGTCTGAGGACCACCACCCACAGCTTCCCACATGGCAGGCCCTGGGAGGACCAGTGGAGGTGCTAGGGACCTCCCGGAGTGGGGTGGGGGACAGCCTCAGCCCTACAGGGCTGGGCCAACCTACCAGGGACTCTGAAATGTCCACTGGAGCCTGCGAGCAGGTACTCAGCATCCTTCTGCCGGCAGCCGTCGGCCCTGGGGTCCACAGGCTACCTCACTGTCCCCTCCCTCCCCCAGGCCCCTCCGGCGCCCCCCTCCCTCAGCCCCTCTCCTAGGGCCTCCTCCCGCTGCCCAGGCCCTCCCTGCCAGGCTCCTAACTGAGGGAACTCCATGTGGACATGAAGGCCGCCATCCTGGGTGGGCTCCACGGTCCGGGTGGACATCAGCAGGTGGTCCTTCTTGCCCAGGAAGACCTTGCAGTCCGACGCCATGGCCACCACATACCACAGGCCTGAGAACTGAGGGGCTCGGTGACACCAGGCTCCTGCCGGGCAGGGCGCCGGCCACTCCCAGCCAAGGAACCCAAGCAGAGAGGACTCTGCCCCTGGCCTGCACAGGTCTTGACGGCTGATCCTCCCCGCCCTGGCCCTGGCCCCCATGCGTCCCCAGGGCTGCTTATGGACTGAAGGAGGATGGACCCAGAGCGTCCCGTTCCCCACCATCGTGCACTGTCCCCGCTGCTGTGCTGTCACGCCACCCCTGGGCACCACCAAGGGGCTCAGTTACCTTCTGGGCATCGAAGTCCGGGTGCACCAGGACCTCAGCCCAGGCGGCGGCAGGCACCCAGAGGAGAGCTAGGATGGGGACCAGCAGGACCAGGGTGGACTTCATCCCCATACTGTCCTCAGCCCGGCCAAACACGGGCTTTATAAGCCAGTGAGTGGCACCTCCCCGAGAAGCAGGCTGTGTGAAGGCCGGAGGCCCAGCCCCCTGCCCACGGCGGGGCACAATTGCCCCTTGTTCCCTGTCAGCCCTTGGGCCATTCTTGGCGGGGCTCCAGCCAGAGGGCATGCATCGGACACGATGGCTGAGGGTCTGCACCCCGCCCCACGCACAGCAGGCCAGTGCTGCCCTGTCATCGGGGTCCAGCAGGGCCCGCAGGAGCAGTGACCGCATGGCCCGCGGGGACTCGGACCTGGACACCTCCGTGCACCTCAGGGACTGGCTGGGTGGGGGCCCAGGCCTAGGGGTTCAGTGGGTCCAGGCTCTGCTCTCTGGCCATCAACACCCTGCCCCCCAGGGTCACCACGCCCAGCCTGCGGGTGCTGGCCACCACTGATGGGAAGCTGGTCAGGACCCCGGGCGTCCCTCCCTCCCTCACGTCCCAGCCACCCTGCCTGGCCACCTGCAGGGCTCCTAGCAGGCACACCTGGACGGGGTGGGGGCTGAGCTGGGCACTCTGGGGGATTATGGGCCGGATACCCCTTATCACCTGTTGCATAACTGTGCCGGCGGGCTGACGCCAGGGAGGCACCGGGACTTGGGGAGTGGCCCCTTGTCTGGGCCCCGCCAGAGGCCCTGAGAGGGGACAGTGCCATGGGCACCTTGGCGGCAGCAGCACCATGGCCTGGACAGCCCTCGGGGCTAGCATCTCGATGCCTGCTTGAAGGGGCATCTGCTGACCGCCTCCCTCTGCCCCTCTCCCCCCACTGAGCTCGCCCATCAGGAGCAGGGGCGGAGGGGGGCGGGCTGGCCCCAGGGGACTGCATGTCTGACAAGGGCCTGTGCCCGAACCCCTGGAGACTCTCCAGACCCACGGATGCCCCAACAAACGGGGGCACACGATTGGAAGGCACCTTCGACGAAGAGAGCAACAAGTGGGGGCAGCTGCCCACGAGGACGCCCCGCGCGTGGTCCGAGAGGACATGCACCTGAGGACCCCCAGGGAGCTACCAAAGGCACAGCCACCCACGGGGCAAGGCTGGCTATCGGCCAGCCCGGAGGACAGGCTTGCACAGTCCTTGTGGGCGCCCATAGCCTTGAGCTTCTCCGGGGGAGCTCCTGGTGGTTTCAGACTGCCGGCCCTGTGGTTCCCAGCCCCATGCATAAGCACCACGCCCCCGGGGCTCCTTAGAAGGCACTACAGCTCCCAAAACCCCACCACTGAGCAGCCAGTTCCACTCACAGTGGCCCAGGAGGACTGAGCAGACCACCCATCTTTGCCGTTGCTGCCGGCCTCATCTTTCTCCCTCAGGGCTGCTGGTGGGTTTGAACCACTGGTCTTTCAGCTCACCACCGAGTGTCTTAACCTCCTGATAGGACTACACCCTGTGGAACAGCATGGCAGGGGGGGGGGTAGTACAGATCACACTGGGATACACTGTCGGGGGAGGGGAGGGGGTTGTTTACACCAGAATGACTGACTATAAACGTCTGTGCTATTTCCACCAACATTCTTTATTTTTTTTTTTTTAGTAAAAATATCCCTGTGGATAGTTACAGCAATGAAAAACAAACTCCTTTTCCGGCAATATACCGCCAAGACTAAAACACCTTGCCGTTACCTTTGTGAGCCTTCTCGTGAGCTCCAGGGGCCCCTGTGGCATCCGCAGTCTGACACCCTCGGCCTCTCCCGGAAGAGTCCCAGTCTGACACCCGCAGGGACAGTGCTGCCCTGCCCTCCAGGTGCTGTGAGCCGGCATCCGCTCTGGCAGGGGG